AAGCAAAAAAAAGAAAAAACAATTGCCTATGACTGGGATCGAACCCTGCCCAGCAAAATAAAAGATTGGTGCTCTAACCACTGAGCTATTATGGTTTAAGGCTGGGCTGAAGTCAGAAAGTTTCCCGGAGTTGACTTTACGCCCTCGCGTTGTGCGGCAAAAGGTCGAAGCTTAACATCAATTGAAATTGAGTAGGTAACAATGAAATGGTTCGAAAAATGATAATTTTCAGGGATGCACTACAAAAAGGGAGCCTTAGGGCACCAAGAAATTTACAAATTTCAGAATAATCTGTTTCGAGCAAAACAGAGCACGGAATATATCTATCTATCTCCGTCTTATTTTTCAGAGAAGACTGCGAGTTCGAACAGTTGACGAGCAAGCACATCCCCACCCTCTGTTACCAAGCCTGAAGCTTATGATATCTAAATGTAAACAAAGCAAATGAAAATATGCTGGCTCTGTGTCAGAAGATTCGACATTTATTTTACCGAATGGTGTTCGATTCCAATTGCGGCAAAATTTTTTTTTATTTAAATTGCATGTAATTGCAATTCTATCATGCCAAAAATGAGTTTTAAATTTCAATTTTTATGTAAAATTATTTTTCAATTAATCGATGACAAATGAGACAATATTTGAACAGGGCCATTAACTTTTTTTTGTACAAATACATTGATAATAGCCTTTTTTAACAACTTATTAACAATAAAAAATAGTTTAAACAATCCGCGGCGAGTTCCGACACTTCGCCGGCAAGCTTTACCCCCACACTCTGTGCCTAAGCCTGCAGCTTATAATTTTCAAGCATCTATAACAGGCATGGGCGATCTTTTTCGAGTCGAAGTCCCCTTTGTTCCAACTTTATTGCTTGCAATAAAATTCTATTCTTTTTTTAATAATTTTATGATTAGGATTACAGGATTAGGAAGGTCCGGGTAAGAAAGTTACATTATCTCTTGCCCGTAGGGCAAGCCCATCTCAGTTAACAATTTAAATATTAATTTACTTTCACAAGTAAAGAACGAATCGGTAGCTCAGAGGTTAAATTCTCTGGCTATGAGTTTTGTGGCGACAGGTTCAAATCTCGCCAGTTGCTTTTTTTTTTTCTTTAACTTAATTTATTAATTCCATTACAATATTTATTATATTTTTTTTATCATAATACTGAGTCCCATATTCGTGTCTTGATAAAGGATAAAAAATAAATATATTTCTGCTCTTTTTAATTTATTGTAGTAACAAATGTTACTACAATACATTAAAAAAAAAAATGCAACTAACGAGATTTGAACCTGTCTGTTAAAAGACAACGGACAATTATATTGGTAGCAATTGCAGTGGGCGATATAAAACTTTAAAATCACCCAATAAATGATATGACTTTGAATTTTAAAGTCATATGATTTATGTATCAATTACTGTACGTGTTTGGGTCTTACATAATTAGGATGACATCCCAAAGTACAGCTGCCGTAAATAGCTTCTTTCGATGCAAAACAATATTTGACCTTGCAATATTACTGTTATGAACAATACCCACAACAAATTATAATACAAATCCTGTATTGGCAAAAGAGTGGAGGGTCATATCTATAAATGAAGCATTTTTCTAAATTTCCAAGACAGTCTTGTTTCGACAATCATCTGAAACTTCGGTATTCTTGTGAATAATAAGTTTTCATTAATAACAAGAAATATGGAGTTTGATGAACCGGTTGCAAAAAAATCAAAAAAACGTTTTTATAATTCTCAGTGGGAGAACCAATATGGTTTAGTCCAGTTTGACCGCAATACCGCGTTTTGTGTGTGTTCTGACTTGGAGGGGCCCAAGTCAGTTAGTCAGAAATATTCAAAAATTGTTAATGCCGGACTTGTCCACCGGCGCGTCAGTCAACTCACTGGACCAATCATCGGGAAGTATTTCCCTCATGGCCCAGAAGGCAACTCTACGGCCCTAGTGACGCCAACAAGCACGCGGTCGAGCACTTGTGGCGTCAGTTAGCTCCAGGCAATTCACGCGGTCAGCTCTGTACAAGTTTTCGCAGTCAAATCGTAGTTTTTTGCAGTCAGCTCACTCGTTGTACAATAAAGTACGGTCAAATAGACTCAGACAGCTCTCACGAAGAAACGTGACCACATCAAATTGTTCTCATCAGTGCAAGTGGTCCAGTATATTCAGTTTGTAGTGTCTTTGGGCGCGAAGCTGAACTGGCGTCGACGCCACAGTGCCTCACGGACATTCACCTATACATCGCTCCCCCGAATAACTCTGGTGTATACTGTGAATGTTGCTATTCACTGTTTTTTGAGACTCTGTTATTTGGTGACAAAATAACCATCAGACAACTCAGAAGTGTATGAACAATCAATGTACAGTCAATTCACCTACACTCAGTGATTAAGAATTTCTATTGTTTAAGTTAAGTGTTATTGTTGAATAAAAACTATAAAACTCAAGCAGTCTGTGTTAATAAACTATATTTTTTGGAACCTTCTAGCATCCAACCTTTTGTTCTTATTCTGCTTGTAATTATTACAGTCCACTAGGTTTCAGTTTGCTCATTCGGCCGACTCGAAGTCAGAACATTTGGTCCTTCGAGCCGGATAAGAACGGCTTGGATGCATATCGAATAACTCTAGAAGGTTCTAGGGCTTCATAATTTTGTGAATATTTTGTGAAATGCTCTGTATAAAGTGCTTGGAATTTAGTAGATTCAAATAACTTTCAGTGTCAGTGGGTAAACAACCTTACAGACAAAAGGTGTTTACGCATTCCAGTGCCCAGTGACACTCATCTGTATTATTGTGAGACAGTGGTGCTCATCTCACAACTTAAACAATTTTTTGAGACGCTTGGCGCGCAGTGTGGTTGTGTGAGAGCCAAGATACCCTCGACGCAGTCAACTCACGTGTATATAAACATAGTTATTAATTAGTGTAGTGTCCTTAGAGTAAGTTTAGTCACCTAAAATTATTATTCAGAGCTCGTAGACTCAGTTAAGTAATTTGTGTGATTCTTTTGGTGTTGAGACTTTCTTGAAAGCCCACCATTGGTATCAAGGTGACAACAGACAACTCTAGCAACATTTTTTTTGTGAACTTTCTTAGTGATAAGTGTAGCGTTAGTGACATTAGACAACTCACTCAACTGAACAATGGCAGACAAACGGTTAATTTCGCCGGCAAAATCGGACTACGTTGATGTAGCCGAAGACAATGAGTCAGTTGAAGGTATTAGTGAGATATTAGAGCAAGTGAGTGTAAGCCAAGCACCATCACCAGTTCCAGTCGACTCTCAGGCAGAAGGTACCAGTGGAACAACACTTAAGGTTCCCGAAAAGGCAACAACATCACGTGACAGGTCCAAGTCACCACCTGCACTGGCAAACACCACGTTATTTAAATTGACGTCTCAAATGTCCAGGTATGAGCAGCTTCAATTTATGCACCAAGACGTGGCTGATCTTGTGCGACAGCCTGCTCTCGTCACAATGCCCATAATCGAGGCGAAACTGTCACAACTCAACGACCTCTGGACATACTTCGTGGTGGAGCATGAGGCATTAGGAGTAGGGTGTCGGTTGACACTCTTTAAACATCAGTATATGACCGACAGAGTGTATGAAAGTGCGTTACGGCTGCATTATCATATAGAGTCAACTCTCCATCGTGTAAAATCAGAGCTACACGAGAAAGACATCCAGAAGGCCATCGATGAGTACAAAGCCTCTACAAAGCAGTCAACTCCAATCATCTACCGACAGGCAACTCTCCCAGAGATCCCTCTCCCAACATTCGCAGGCGACTCATCAACGTGGACGCAGTTTCGGGACATGTTTACGTCCCTCGTCCACGATCGGGAAGATCTCAGACCAGTAGCCAAACTACACTACCTGAAGGCCAACGTATCAGGTCCCCCACTTCAACTGATCCGTCATGCTGTGATGAATGATGATGGGTATGAGCCAGCATGGAATCAGCTCAAGGCCAGGTACGATGACCCAGAACAACTCATCTTTGCCCACATCAAGGACCTGTTCAGTGTGACCACACCATCGTCTAAGTCAGCTGAACAACTCGACAACCTGGTAGGCGTGGTACGCCAAAACTTAGATGCCTTAAAGGCACTCAATGTCCCAGTCGACTCAGCAAACTACTTCTTGGTATACCTGGTGGCCAGTAAGCTTGAGCAGCCGCTACGTGAGTCATGGGAACTCGAGCGAAGTAGGTCTCGCTCACCGACAACTCTAGACAGTCTACTCAACTTCATCTCTACTCGGGCACGTGCGATGGAGTCAGCTCAAGATGCAGCCCGTCAAGCAAAACGGTGGCCTACTCCAGTGATCACCAGAAGGTCCAGATCACAACAACAGTCTACTCAACAGCAGACGACTCACCCACAGACAACTCGAGCCTCCAGGCATGCGGCGCAAAAACGACAAGCAGATTACCCGTGTGATCAATGCAGCAGTTTGGATCACTACTTGGTTGACTGCAAAGCGTTCGCAGGACTGTCACAACACGAAAGGTACAAGCTGGTCCTCGCAGCACGGCTGTGCTTCAATTGCTTCGGCCATCACTCCATCCAGGTGTGCCAGTCAGAGAAACGATGCAGCACGTGCAATTTAAAGCACCACTCAATGATCCATACGCCCAGGACAGAATCTCTAAGAAAAAGAGGATATGGACCAGGCCAAGAACCGCAGCCTACTCACAGCAGCCAACAGCCATCAACCTCCCAGCAGTGAGGTGATGACGTGCCATTTCCACAGCCGACTCCAGATCACACCCATTCATCTAAGCAGACTTCTCACCAGGTAACTCATCATCATAGTCAACTCTCTGCAGTCAACTCTAATTATGTTTCAGTCAATTCTCCAAGTGGTGGTGTGATCACTCAACATGCAGACAACTCAACGATTAATGGTGATGAATCATGTCAATCTACATGTGCTGACAGGAGTAAAGAATGCTTCTCTGATGACTCGACGGAAAGGATGACCTTAGCACATGAGGTTTCGGCCTCAGGAGGGTTGAGGGTCCTGGAAGAAGAGTCAGAAGGTCTCGTTCGATCTCCTACAGCTGAAGAAAAGAGTTAAACTCACACTAGTCAAATCTCAGACGACTCACATGATTCAACAATCACCAAGAACACTACAGACAACTCAGATATCCATGGAAGACTCTCTTCAGCACTCAGGGCAGCAGAAGATCCATGCACTAACGAGTCTCCAGTTCAATCAGACAGCTCAGCAGTCTTACTCGCCACAGCCAATGCAGTATTACTTTCAGACTACTCTCAGCTTCCAGTAAGACTCCTGATAGACTCAGGGTCTGAGCTGACGTTCATCTCATCAAGTGTGGTAAAGACTTGTCATCTCCAACGTCGTCCATCAGTAATATCAGTGCTGGGAATTGGTAACGAACCAGCTGTACAAACCAGAGGAGTGACAACAGTGACACTTAGATCAACTCACACACAGGAGCAAGTTACAATTAATGCTCATATCCTCAAATGTGTCACTGGTACTTTACCAACCAGACAACTCAAGGAACTCAACTGGTCAGCTCTCAACTCTCTGCAACTTGCTGATCCGGACTACTCAACTCCAAGACACATTGACATCTTAATAGGAGCAGACTGTTATGGTCTGATTGTGAAAGCGGGCATCAAACAATGTCCGCAGTCATCTCTAATAGCCCAAGAGTCCATCTTTGGATGGATGCTCATTGGAAGTCCACACCCGACAAGATGCTCAAGTCAGAGAACTCATCACGCAGCAAGGGTCAACTCATACCAGCAAGTATCTGATCTCTTGACAAAATTCTGGGTTCAAGAAGAAGTTCCAGATACTTCAGCCAGCCAACTCAGCCCAGATGATCAATCTTGTGAAGATCATTATGTTACGACTCATTCAAGAGATCACGATGGGAGATATATTGTGAGAATACCACTCAAAGCATCACCATCTCTGCTAGGCAACTCATCAGCGAGAGCTCATCAGTGTTTACTACACATGATCAGACGACTCACAAAAAATGACTCATATGCACAACTCTATCACAACTTTATGCAAGAATACGAGTCACTGAACCACATGACACGAGCCAAGGCAAGTCCAGTCAACTCTCCAGTGTATTATTTGCCTCATCATGGTGTCTTAAGAGAAGACAGTGTTACTACAAAGCTTAGGGTAGTATTTAATGGCTCTAGTCCATCTTCTAGTGGTCTATCAGTGAACGATATTCAACATACTGGTGCCAAAGTCCAGAAAGACATTGCAGACGTACTCATTTGGATCAGGCAGCATAAATTTGTGTTCACATCAGACATCACCAAGATGTACAGACAAATCAAAGTCCACCAAGATGATTGGGATCTCCAGAGAATCCTGTGGGTGGACGAGCACTCCAAGATCATCCCATATCAACTCACAACAGTCACGTATGGTACCAGATCAGCTCCATTTCTGGCTGTTCGCACAATGATCCAGCTAGTGAAGGATGAGGGTCATAAGTTCCCTCTAGCTGTTGATCCACTACTAAAAGGAAGATATGTGGACGATATTTTTGGAGGTGCTGACACCGTGAGTCAACTGATAGACATCTCAACCCAAGTCAGACAACTCTGCATGGCAGGTGGCTTCCCGTTAGCGAAATGGCACAGCAACTCACTTCAATTCCTTCAATCACTTACAGACAACTCATCAGAAGAGCAGATCCACTCATTTGAGAGCAGCAAAACGAAATTACTTGGGCTCTCGTGGATTCCAGCGAACGACTCATTTAAGTTCAACTCAAAACCTCCTCGTGAGAAGTCCAAGCTCACAAAGAGAATAATTTTATCAGAAACAGCACAACTCTACGATCCACTTGGATTTCTAGCACCCTTCATTGTCAGAGCAAAGATGTTGCTACAAGAAATCTGGCTAGATAAACTTTCCTGGGATGACCAAGCCCCAGATCACATCATCACCAAGTGGAACAGCTTCAGATCAGAACTCTCACATGTTTCAGACCTCTCAATTCCACGATGGTTACGGATTACTCAGAAATCGACCGTGGAACTTCATGGTTTTTCAGACGCCTCACAAAGCAGCTATGGCAGCTGTTGTTTACATACGGACTACTCATCCAGATCATGGAACCTGTTCAACTATAGTCTGCTCAAAGTCTAAAGTTGCTCCACTTAAGAAGATGTCTATTCCTAGACTAGAACTCACCGCAGCATTGCTGCTTGCCAGACTAATCACTTATGTAAGGACCAACTTAGACATTCAGCCAACTCAACTCGTATGTTGGACAGACTCCTCAGTGACTTTGACCTGGATTCAGTCTCACTCATCCCGTTGGAAGGAGTTTGTAAGAAACAGAGTGTCAGCAATTCAAGATCTCACTCCAATCAGCGTTTGGAGGTTTGTACCTGGCAAACAAAATCCAGCGGATTGTGCTTCTCGAGGTATCAGCATATCCCAGCTTCGGAAGCACCCCCTGTGGTGGACAGGACCACAGTGGTTAACAGCAGACGAATCATTATGGCCAACTCAATCATCAGTGTACGATTCAAAAGCTCAGCAGGAAGAGCGGCCCGGGCTCACTTTTGTTACTCAGACAATTCAACATGATTATCATTGGGATATGATATACAGACATTCTCGGCTGATCAAATTGCTCAGAGTGACTGCAATTTGCTTCAGATTCAGCCAACTCCTCAGACGAGTACCGCAGTCATCTCTCACCTTCCCTCTCACGCCACAAGAATTAGAGAGAGCAAGGATTTTTTGGATAAAGGCAACTCAAGAATCGTACTTCTCACAAGAAATCAAGCAGATCAACTCAAATTCACTGCCCGTCTCACACCCCCTCGCACGATTGACAGCATTTTTTGACAATCAAGGAGTCCTACGTGTTGGAGGGAGGTTAGCAAATGCTAGCTTGGACCAAGAAGCAAAGCATCCTGCAATCCTACCACAGAAAACTCATCTTTCCAGACTAATCATTGCAGATGCTCATGAAAGAACATTGCACGGTGGGACGCAGGCAACTCTGAACCTCATACGATCATCGTACTGGATCATTGGCGGACGACTCCCAGTACGATCCTATATTTATCATTGTATGAAATGTGCTCGTTTACGTGGCGAACGAGCGAAGCAGTTAATGGGTCAATTGCCGTTATCAAGAATCACTCCAGCCCGACCATTTGCCGTCTGTGGTGTGGATTACGCTGGTCCCATCACGCTAAAGACTTGGAAAGGCAGAGGCGCCAAAACATCTAAGGGTTGGATGTGCATTTTTGTGTGCTTCGTTACTTCTGCGCTTCATGTAGAAATTGTAACAGATTATTCAGCAGACTCATTTATTGCAGCGTTCAGAAGGTTCACTGGACGTCGAGGTGTCTGCAGAACTCTCCACAGTGATTGTGGCACCACGTTTCAAGGCGCAGACACGCTCATCAGACAACTCTTCAAGCAGGGGACTCAACAGTTCAGTCAACTCGCAGCTGTATTTGCAAAGGATGGAACTGATTGGAAGTTTAATCCACCAGCTGCACCACACATGGGAGGAAAATGGGAAGCTGCAGTCAAATCAGTAAAGTTCCATCTTAACAGAACGATAGGCGACTCACTCTTTACATATGAAGAGCTTTCCACACTGCTTGTCCAGATAGAAGCAGTCCTTAACTCCAGACCACTCGAGCCTCTCTCAGCCGACTCTACAGACATCTCAGCGTTGACTCCAGCACACTTCTTGGTTGGTGAACCTCTAGTAACATTACCAGAGCCTTCACTGGAAGATGTGCCAATGCCACGCTTGTCCAGGTGGCAATTTATTCAGCAGCGACTCCAATCGTTTTGGTCAACGTGGTCAAAACAATACCTTCAGCAGCAACTCGCCATTTCCAAGTGGAAACACCCCGCTCACAACATCACAGTCGGCTCACTTGTACTACTCACTGACGAGAGGTTCCCACCAACGAAGTGGCCTCTCGCCAGAGTGATTGAGGTGTTCCCAGGATCAGACGGACTCATCAGAACAGTCAAACTCAGGACAGCAACAGCAGAACTCGTCAGACCACTCACAAAACTAGTCATCTTACCATACACTCCACCAGAAGAAGATCAGCAAAGGCGTTGCTGATGGTGGGACAATGTTCTGACTTGGAGGGGCCCAAGTCAGTTAGTCAGAAATATTCAAAAATTGTTAATGCCGGACTTGTCCACCGGCGCGTCAGTCAACTCACTGGACCAATCATCGGGAAGTATTTCCCTCATGGCCCAGAAGGCAACTCTACGGCCCTAGTGACGCCAACAAGCACGCGGTCGAGCACTTGTGGCGTCAGTTAGCTCCAGGCAATTCACGCGGTCAGCTCTGTACAAGTTTTCGCAGTCAAATCGTAGTTTTTTGCAGTCAGCTCACTCGTTGTACAATAAAGTACGGTCAAATAGACTCAGACAGCTCTCACGAAGAAACGTGACCACATCAAATTGTTCTCATCAGTGCAAGTGGTCCAGTATATTCAGTTTGTAGTGTCTTTGGGCGCGAAGCTGAACTGGCGTCGACGCCACAGTGCCTCACGGACATTCACCTATACATCGCTCCCCCGAATAACTCTGGTGTATACTGTGAATGTTGCTATTCACTGTTTTTTGAGACTCTGTTATTTGGTGACAAAATAACCATCAGACAACTCAGAAGTGTATGAACAATCAATGTACAGTCAATTCACCTACACTCAGTGATTAAGAATTTCTATTGTTTAAGTTAAGTGTTATTGTTGAATAAAAACTATAAAACTCAAGCAGTCTGTGTTAATAAACTATATTTTTTGGAACCTTCTAGCATCCAACCTTTTGTTCTTATTCTGCTTGTAATTATTACAGTCCACTAGGTTTCAGTTTGCTCATTCGGCCGACTCGAAGTCAGAACAGTGTGTTATGTGAACCACCAAAGCCTTTCATTCACTTCTTAAAAACGAACCACGAAAATCATTACCTTAATTTTCACCGTGAATTCAGCACAAAAGAGGAAAGTGATCGAATTTCACACATCACAATGAGAAAATCGTTGTAAAAAAATTCAACCGGGAATTGTTTAACACTTGTCCCAAATTACAAAAAGAAGTAGAAGAGGCAATATCCAACGTTCCATTATCCTGGAGAATAATCACCAATCGAATTCAATTAATGAGTGAGAATATATACTCAAATCGATGATGATCTACAACGGTGTGACTGTTTCTCCCTTCAACTCGACGAATCCACGGACGTCAGCGACATTGCACAAGTTCTAGTTTTTATCAGGATGATTTTCCCCGATTTATCATTAAAAGAAGAATGCTTTGGACTATTTTCATTGCATGATAAAACCACTGCTGATGAACTATTTAAGCATTTTGAAATTCTGCTAGAGTCACGCAATGTCCCTCTGGAAAAGTTGGTTTCCATAACATCTGATGGAGCTGCAACGATGACCGGAAATCAAAATGGTTTTCTAGCTAAGTGTAGAAATAATAAGAAGTTTCCTTTTTTCAACGTTTATTATTGCATCATTCATCAACAAGTATTGTGTGCTAAAGCTCTTAGAATAAACGATGTGATAGATGAAGTGGTAACAATAATTAATTTTATTCGGGGACGGGCGTTAAATCACAGACAATTCAAGCAGCTCATAAAAGATATGGACGAAAATAGTGATGAATCTGATGTTATTTACTACACTGAAGTGCGATGGTTGAGTAAAGCAAACATGCTTCAACGATTTGCAAACTTACTTCCGGTAATACGCGATTTTTTATTAATAAAAGAAAAAGAGGAGTGGGTCAATAAATTGCATGATTTTAAATGGCTGTCATTATTGATGTACGCAGTCGATTTAACTTTAATACTTAATTCGATTAATAAAAAACTGCAAGGGAAGTGTAAGGTTGTGTGGGACCAAATTCAAGTGATTAGAGATTTCGAATTAACATTGGTGAACATTATAAAACATTGTGAAGTGAATACTATCGATGAAAGATTGCAGCGATTGAAGAAATTGTTCGGTGAGAGCTCAGAAGAACGATTCAATGGTGAGTCGTTAATAAAAGTAACAATGCCTATTTTAGATGAAGTCAAAAAACGCTTCAAAGATTTTAGAGATCTTGAAATTATTGGTGAAATAGCCGTTAATCCGTTTGCTATAAAATTCGAACGATATGGAGAACTCATCGAAACAATCAAACGACTGTTTTCAAATGCTGATTGGATTGACTTCAGTGAATTAGTAAATGAATTTGAATCATTACCACGAGACAATAAAATAAATGCTGTAATTGCGAGTGGTGGTAACATGTGGAATGTGATAGCTGCAAATAAACAATATCCAAATTTTTTGAAAATTTACAAAAAAATTTTATCAGTGTTTGGATCAACATATTTAAGTGAGAGTGACTTTTCGTTCATGAAGAAAATAAAAACGAGTGAAAGATCGCGATTAACTGACCACTCCTAGAAATTTCAGATACAATTACTCTAAATGCACTTGCTGAAATAGCTGATCGCGTTATGTTACGTATGAAAGAGCCAACCATCATGGCAACATCTCATGTTCGCAAACCAAGTGACTCATTAGAATTAACTTCAATAAAAGAAACAGTGAATGAACTAAAACGAGCTCTTACATCAGTTCTCCAAGAGCTTGAAGATATGCGAGCTGAACGTAGATCCCGGAGCCGTCATAGGTCGTTCTCTAAGGCCTCAACAACGCGATCGTCATCACCTCATTCCAATGGTATTTGTTGGTATCACTTGAAGCATGGGGTGAAAGCTGTGAAATGTGAAGACAATTGTAAATTCTCATCATTACTAAAACAGGGAAACGATCAACGCTGCCAACCATAGGGGCAGTGGATGGTAGCGATAATAACAATAACACCATATCTTCTGCAGAGCCCCGACTTCATATTTTTGACAAATCAACAAAATTAACATTTTTAATAGATTCAGGAGCCGTAGTCTCTATAATTCCTGCTGAATATTTTCGTGGAGGAAGATCACAAGCACATTTTACATTGTACGCAGCAAACTCGTCACAGATTAGCACTTACGGGACAAAAACATTGGAACCGAATTTCAATCTTCGCAGACCTTTTCCATGGGCATTCATAATAGCAGATGTGGACACACCAATAGTAGGTGCTGATTTCCTAGCTCATTATGACCTTCTCATTGATCTTAAAAACAAGCAATTAATAGATTCAACAACTTCATTATCAACGAAAGGTGAACTTCGTCAAACACAATTTCTTGGAATTTCAACAGTCAGCTCAGATATAAATTGTTCTGATCTGTTAAAAGAGTTTATCAGTATCACTAAGCCTTCAGAAAATGCAATAACACCTAGCAAAATGGAATTTGCACATCGAATTCCTACCACTGGACCTCCAGTTTCAGAAAGATATAGAAAAATATCAGGGGACAAAGCCGTAGCTGCTAAAACTGATCTCCAAGACTTATTAAGAAGAGGTAAACTTAGACCATTCAGTAGTTCTTGGGCCAGCGCAATACATGTCGTCCAGAAGAGCGAAAAGGGGTGTTGGCGCACGTGTGGAGACTTTCGAAAGCTTAACGCAGTGACAGAACCAGATAAATATGCGCCACCACAAATTCAATCCCTCTTTCCTCTTTTGCATAAAAAAACGGTATTTTCAACCTTGGACCTGGAAAAGGCGTATCATCAGATCCCAATGTGTGAAGAGGATATCAAAAAGACTGCCATTACAACTCCGTGGGGTCTATACGAATATTTGTTTATGCCTTTTGGGTTAAAGAATGCGTCACAAACATTCCAACGTTTCATCGATTCAGTTTTCCGAGATCTGGATTGTGTTTTCGTCTACATTGATGACATCCTGGTAATGTCAGAAAATGAGCAGCAACATCGTAGTCATCTTCGTCAAGTCTTTAAAAAATTACAAGATCATGCACTATCTATCAATGTCAACAAATGTAAATTTTTACAGTCTGAAGTAAACTTCTTAGGTTTTGCTATCAGTGCTCAAGGCTATTCACCTACGAATGACAGACTTCAACGAATCATTGATTATCCAAAGCCAGAAACAGTGACCGAGCTACGAAGATTTCTAGGGATGATAAATTACTATAGAAGATGCATTCCTGACATGGCAAAATTTCAAACACCTCTTGATCAGTACATCACTACATCCAAAAAGAATGATAGAACCAAAATTAATTGGAACCCTGAAGCAGAAAGTTGTTTTGAGCAATTAAAACAAAAATTAGCTAACACAACTAAAATGACTTTTCCATCTTCACATGCAGAATTGATGTTAACAACAGATGCATCAACAACAGCAATAGGAGCTTCACTTGAACAACTGGAGAAGGGCGTGTGGAAACCACTTGGATTTCATTCAAGAAAATTAAGTGCAACAGAACAACGTTACAGCACTTACGATAGGGAGCTCTTAGCAATATTTTCAGCGATCAAACACTTTCAATACCTCCTGGAGTGTAGGAAGTTCAAGATCAGAACCGATCATAAGCCACTAACCTATGCTTTTAAACAGAAAATGTCAAAAGCGTCTGAGAGACAACTTAGACAATTGGATTACATTTCTCAATTTTCTACAGATATAGTCTATGTGAAAGGAGAAGAAAATGTAGTCGCAGACGCACTCTCACGTATCAATGCAATCACTATGCCGAGCATTCTTGACGCACAAACAATTCAGCAAGCACAGGAAGCAGATCAAGAACTTCCAGAGATACTTGAAAGTCAAATATCAATTAATTTACAAGAAATTGAAGTGGAACCTAATGTAAAGATTTACTGTGATATCACACATAACATCGTTCGTCCGTACATTCCAGAAAGTCTTCGTAAGACTGCATTTGACACTATTCATAATTTATCACATCCAAGTCGCAAAGTTACGTCACAACAACTGCGAGAAAAATTTGTTTGGCCAGGTATAAAGAAGGATGCAGTGAAATGGTCTCGTGAGTGCATGGCATGTCAAAAGGCCAAAGTGCAGCGCCATAACAGATTAATACCCAATCACATAGATGTTCCAGACAATAGATTCACACACATACACATCGATATCATAGTTCTGAGAGAAGTAAATGGATTTAAATATTGTCTGACAATAATAGATCGGTTTACTAGATGGCCAGTGGCAGTACCTCTTAAAGACATGACAGCAGAAAACAATCACCGTTGCATTATTCGATCATTGGATAGCTCAGTTCGGGACACCCATAGTTATTACGACGGATCAAGGGACACAATTCGAATCATCATTATTTAATGCACTAGCAAACTTTATTGGAGCTAAAAGAAACAGAACAACCGCATATCACCCACAATCGAATGGGATGATAGAACGTTTTCATAGAACTCTTAAGGGAGCTTTGATGTGCTCACCGAGACCGTGGACGGAAGTCTTATCAACAGTGATGTTAGGTCTACGAACAAGTTTTAAAGAGAGTCTACAAGCAACACCAGCAGAGATGCTTTATGGTATCAATCTTAGAATACCAGGAGAATTTTTTGTATCAGAAGAATTACCTCCAGACCCTCAAGCATTCATTGAAAAACATCGAGAGTTTATGCGAGCACTTCGACCAACTGCAACAGCACATAATGTGAAAGCACGGATGTTTATTTTAAAAGATATCGAAACTTGTTCGCACGTTCTGATACGTTGTGATCATGTAAAATCACCGTTGGAACCACCCTACATGGGACCATTCAAAGTGTTGGATAGAATTTCTGATAGAGTCTATCGTCTTGAAGTGAATGGAGTACCTCAAAATTATTCAATAGACAGATTAAAACCAGCCTATATAAGTAAAACTGATCCAGAATGTATCACAGATAAAGAGACAGAAAGGCCTGGGACACCGGCAAACTCTTCATCAAAAAAGATCACGTCAGAAAAAAATCAACCCTCGACATTAAATACAAATCTAGACTCAACGGAAGATGAGCAACCAATGTCGGTTCATCACTGGACGTCGTCAATGGACAGACCTGTCCGAACATATACCAGGAAAAAGAAGAACAAAACTTTCGAGCGTCCCGCGGAAAGTTACTCCGAAGGGAGTGGATGTGGGGGTTCGAGCAGAGCAAATTGAACCTCTGGTGGACAGCAAGCGCAACTAGGAGGATCAGTCAGTCGATAAGCGAGCTAATAAAAAGCGAGTCTAAGACCACCACAGTTGTGGGATTTTTAGTACTTTTATATGTATTATATTGAATTGTTTAATTAATAATTAACCGTTTGAATAATAAGTATATTATTGGTTTATTAAGATATTTTGTTTATTATTTATGGACCCAAAATATCCATAGATGCCAGGTTGGCGTGCCATCTTGCGGTCATTATTATAAATGCTGACTACATTTCTTAGCTCCCATAAGGACTGAACAAAGAATACAGACCCATAGAAGCCCAGGGCAATAGGATTTAATGTCGCAGTAGAACGCTCAGTACTAACTGCGACCACAGATGTCGCAGCAGTCCAAATGAGTAGGCTGGAGATGGAGTGGCCAGCAGTCGTTGACCAAACGTCAATCGAACCAGTATTGAGTCAGTATGTAGATGAATGTTTGAATTTTTAGGTGATTTAGATAGCAGTAAACAATGATAACATGGATGAAAAAATTCATTAAAGAAACAACTAGGTAAACCACTAATCAGAGCCAGGTTATATTTCCGAAATTCTCGACTATTTCCAATTAGGATATCGCATTTTAAATAATGCAAATTTCGAATAAATGACAATGGAACATGATTTTTTCATCTTTTATAATTGAGAATTTTTTTAATTATCAACATTGAAGAATAAAAAATGGCAAAATTATGAATATCAGTCTGATGTAGAATTCTGTATAATTAAAATAATGAAAAGCCGCGAATCAAGCTCGCGGCATTAATTATAATCGCAGCATAAAGGACATAAAAAACAATATTTTTTGCAAGAGGACAATAAATTTTAGTGATCTCCAGGTAATAATGTTATATATTCATAATCGGTAATAAAACATCTAAGAGTAGTGCCATAACATAAATTTCACACTATTCGATGTACCACCTAACCTTACTTACTAGATTGTATACATTTTTCTTGTAGACGAAGTCTAATTAACAAAATATTATCAACTCCTGGTAGAGTTTTAAGAGTGAGACTTTTTTCTAAATTCTTATAATTTTTTATGAATAAGCGGGGAGCCTATTCTTTTTATTATCCATCTCAAAAAGTTGAGAAGTCACGAGTACAGTGGTCTATCTTGCGGTAGAGACTATACTACAGGTAGTTTAGTAACTTTAGGTTAATCGGTCATTTCAATAAAAATGGAACCTGTCAGCAGAACATTCACTATTTATCGTTGAAACAAACTAAAAATAAGATTTATTAATTTTGAAATTTTCTTTTCAAGATGGAAATTGAATACTACCGCTTTGAATGGAAGGTCGGTACAGCACCTATGGATAATGAGGAGAACGTGATGGTAACTTTTTTTTCGAATATTTTTTTAATAAAAATTTTTAGGACAATATTAATATCACTAATTTATTCATGTTAGATCGATGATGCTTATAATATCCACTGCATAAAGAAGCATCCATTTTACGTCACAATTGAATTGCCCCGTACACTTATAGGACCTCGACTTATAATCTTCAGTTTGATCAATTCTTTATTACATAGTCAACTCATTGAACGCTGTGAAAAGCATACTAAATCTGATCGATTAACAAAATTATGTCATAAAGCACTCCCATTAGTCATACATGAAGATCTTTCTCCGATGCACGTTTACGAAAATCGGACGGAATTTAGAGCTCAAATAGCTAGAATATTAAGTGAACGACGAGAAATGGCGAATTTCCCGCGATTACAGTCTATTCAAATTGATTTTAGAGATAGCGTACTGGCTTCATTGGAACGTCTAATTCTTCATTTAATACGCATACCATGAGACTAAATGGTTTTCGAGTACATTTTGATGAACACTTGATGGCAACAGGAATTCCATGTACTTGCTGTTGCGGTGGCAGTATGATTGCAACACTCCCATTCTCGGCATACCTATAAGGGTAATCCGAAGAAAGATCTTCATGTATGACTAATGGGAGTGCTTTATGACATAATTTTGTTAATCGATCAGATTTAGTATGCTTTTCACAGCGTTCAATGAGTTGACTATGTAATAAAGAATTGATCAAACTGAAGATTATAAGTCGAGGTCCTATAAGTGTACGGGGCAATTCAATTGTGACGTAAAATGGATGCTTCTTTATGCAGTGGATATTATAAGCATCATCGATCTAACATGAATAAATTAGTGATATTAATATTGTCCTAAAAATTTTTATTAAAAAAATATTCGAAAAAAAAGTTACCATCACGTTCTCCTCATTATCCATAGGTGCTGTACCGACCTTCCATTCAAAGCGGTAGTATTCAATTTCCATCTTGAAAAGAAAATTTCAAAATTAATAAATCTTATTTTTAGTTTGTTTCAACGATAAATAGTGAATGTTCTGCTGACAGGTTCCATTTTTATTGAAATGACCGATTAACCTAAAGTTACTAAACTACCTGTAGTATAGTCTCTACCGCAAGATAGACCACTGTACTCGTGACTTCTCAACTTTTTGAGATGGATAATAAAAAGAATAGGCTCCCCGCTTATTCATAAAAAATTATAAGAATTTAGAAAAAAGTCTCACTCTTAAAACTCTACCAGGAGTTGATAATATTTTGTTAATTAGACTTCGTCTACAAGAAAAATGTATACAATCTAGTAAGTAAGGTTAGGTGGTACATCGAATAGTGTGAAATTTATGTTATGGCACTACTCTTAGATGTTTTATTACCGATTATGAATATATAACATTATTACCTGGAGATCACTAAAATTTATTGTCCTCTTGCAAAAAATATTGTTTTTTATGTCCTTTATGCTGCGATTATAATTAATGCCGCGAGCTTGATTCGCGGCTTTTCATTATTTTAATTATACAGAATTCTACATCAGACTGATATTCATAATTTTGCCATTTTTTATTCTTCAATGTTGATAATTAAAAAAATTCTCAATTATAAAAGATGAAAAAATCATGTTCCATTGTCATTTATTCGAAATTTGCATTATTTAAAATGCGATATCCTAATTGGAAATAGTCGAGAATTTCGGAAATATAACCTGGCTCTGATTAGTGGTTTACCTAGTTGTTTCTTTAATGAATTTTTTCATCCATGTTATCATTGTTTACTGCTATCTAAATCACCTAAAAATTCAAACATTCATCTACATACTGACTCAATACTGGTTCGATTGACGTTTGGTCAACGACTGCTGGCCACTCCATCTCCAGCCTACTCATTTGGACTGCTGCGACATCTGTGGTCGCAGTTAGTACTGAGCGTTCTACTGCGACATTAAATCCTATTGCCCTGGGCTTCTGTGGGTCTGTATTCTTT